ATCAAAATTCTTACAGCTTTTGCTCAATTTAATCTTCTAAAGGATCCTAACTCCTCCTCAATACACCTCTCTTTTATGCTTATATAGCATTTTTTAATGTGGAATAAAGAAAGACAAAAAAGGAGAATTTTTCGCCTGCATGCCCAAGTGAGTTCTACATATATTATATTGCATCTCATAAAGGTTATTAGAAAAAACATATTTATATCTTGGAACAGTAGTGTGCTTGTTGTCTATATATAAATGATTGTGTGAGTGAAGAATGAGAAGAAAAGTGTGTTGTATGCAAAAATATATCTATAAATATATATATATAGAGAGAGAGATATATATTTAGAGAGAATTTAAGTAGAAAAGGGGCAATGAGGAAGTCGGAGAGTAGCAGAAAGCACGGGATTGCGCCGCCATGTGCCGCTTGCAAGCTTCTCAGGCGGAGATGTGCAGAGGACTGTGTGTTTGCACCTTATTTTCCGGCGGACGAGCCCCACAAGTTTGCCAGTGTGCATAAGGTCTTTGGTGCTAGCAATGTCAACAAGATGCTTCAGGTTTGACTAAACTAAAACTCATGTTTGTTTGGTGTGTGTGTGTGTGTGAAAATGTTTATTTTATCCAATTGAGATTATATCCACAAGAGAAGATTTCAACTTGTGGGCTCACTTCATGGAAAAATTTAAGTTTGAACTAGCATTTTTGTAACACACAGGAGTTGCCCGAACATCAACGAGGGGATGCAGTGAGCTCATTGGTGTACGAAGCCAATGCCCGAGTGCGGGACCCGGTTTACGGCTGTGTGGGCGCCATATCATCGCTGCAGAACCAAATCGACACTTTACAAACCCAACTTGCACTTGCACAAGCGGAGATCGTGCAAATGCGCATGCGCCAGTTCTCATACAATTCGCCCGACAATGCCTCTCCCTCGTCTAGGGACGGGCTATCTTACCGGGCCGGGTCCCACTTCAACATGGACATGGACATGATGGTCGATCAAGCCAACTTGGAGGACTCCTTTTGGCACTAAAAGATCCTTGTTCTTTTTACTAATATCGAGCATGTACCCTTTTTATTTATGTACTCGTGTCTCATTTTCACCACTTTTTTTTTT